CTGCGAGTCTTGGGGTTCCTCATCGACTGGGAGGTAGAAGGTGGAGATGGAAGGGGAGTGGTCACGGTGCTCCTGAGGAGACGGAGGGAAGAGAAGGAGGAGGTGAGGCGGAAGTGGTGACTATGAATGACAGATGGAGAGATGGATGGATGGAGGGCTCGGTGGGTGGATGGATGGATGAGTGTGTGATGGAGATGGAAAAGAGGAAACACTGTCATTCAGGCCCGAGCTTCTCATCAAGCTGCAGCTCAGCCCCACATTATTTTTCTTCCTCTAAAGACTAAACTAAAACTTTGCTGCTAAAAACTTGACGTTTCCTACATTTTCTTCAAAACGACATTAAAACTAAAACTCTGTGTCTTTGTGTGAGCACATTTCCTCGTCAGCTCCCTGGATTAAAGTCGACTAAACTCCTGAAACTGCTCTGGAAACTACTGACATTAGACTCCTTGTGTTGGCTCAGTAAAATGTAAAGCTCGAGTCACAGAATCAGTGAAAACGTGGCGCTTACAGCCAATTTAATCTGAAACATCCGGATCAGGCTCTGTGAAATGAAAGCTGCTTGCTTGATATTAAAGACGCTCATCAGTCATCACCATCTTCTAATCCTTATCTTAGATTAGAATCAGACCTGATTGATCAGGCTGCATATTTAGGGGTCCCATTAAATGCACAATAATCCTTATCGCTAGGCAAAAGTAGCAGACAGATGGCAGCAAAAGCAAAGAAGCTTCCTCAGTGTTATAATAATAATATTAGTTGTTATTAGGCAGTGCTTGGACAGAAAGCTTTCAGGGAGGGTGCAATGAACACTGTAGAAGATGATGATCAGTAACAGCAGACAAACAGAGTTATTTAGCAAAGACAGCTTACAGAGGTGAAGCCAAGGACGTTGTCTTTGATGATTTAACAGCACGGGCAGCAGCATTAAAGCACCGTGACCTTCTTTAATGGAGACAGGGGGTTCTAAACACTACAGTACCCACAATCCTCCAGCTGCTAACCTGCTCTCAATGGACAAACAGTTACACACGAGTGAAATGCTGTGAGTTTAAACAAGGCTTCATGCAGATACAAGCAACACGTACGAATGGGTGGCGCCGCAGCCGCCAGGGAGCAGGGCGGGATCAAGCAGCAGGTGCTAAGAAGCTGAGGCATCGGGGCTTGGTGATTGGACGATGAGCAGCAGCAGCAGCAGGCGGAGGAGGAGGAGGGACGGGAAGAAGGCGGCGGTGGGGCTCATTTGGGGAAGGTTAGTACGTCACTGTCACACCTTACTCTCTGTAAGGCAAACGC